TGAATGTACACTATCACACATTGATATGCATTCAAATACCTGGTCAATTCCACACATATAAATAAATGAAGCAAGGAAATTGTATGAGCAATTCCTTGATATGATTATGAGCAGTAATAATTTTTGCTCAAAACGTGGTCATCGGTTAATATTCCTGTATAACTCTGTGTGATTTATCGAAATGAAATCTTACGCATTTTGGAAGCAAATTATAATTCTTTATCTGTAGTAAAAGAACGTCTACTTCAGTTGTCATGAAATTAACAAATTATGAACCGTCGTTGAGTAAAACAATTTTTATATAAATTTGCTGAAAGAGCCAGAAAACCTTTGAAGCGGTAAGGAATGGTATGATGCCTAAACTGATTTCAGTATATATAAGTGCACTGTTTCTTTTAACTCCAAGAGGAACATAGGGCTTCAGTCGCCCATTTCCATTAGGTTCGGTTCTCCGCCAACGTTTTCACCTGCCTCCACTTCAGCCCACATGCTTTCATCTTCTCTTGACATGACTTCCTCCATATTATCCTCGCAGTGACGACCAACTCACTGCTTCCTTTTCAGGTTTCACCCGAGCAATTAACCGGTGTGTGATGTCAGTGGATGGTTTTCTCAGAGTATGGCAAACTTACGTCGATTTCTTTCTCCATATTTGTTACACTATTTGTTCCTGCTGGTTTGGTTCACTCCCAGAGATCCGTGTTGCAGATCTTTTGTGGCCATCTGATCCTGAGCTTGGAGCAAAGACAGCTGTTGATGAAGATGTGTAGCCTGTTCAAAGTGTCCTTCGAGACACAGCGCCAAGTCTCTGATCCGTATAGTAGGACTGATTTGATAGATGGCGATTAACAGTGGAATCCAAGATATGGATTTTTCCTCTGTTTTGGACCCATCATTTGAATATATTCTTAATCCCAAGTTGGTGATAGTGTACACACTGAGACTTCGACCAAGTAGCCATTGTTTCAAATGGTAACACGTTATCCTCCTAACCACTTGGGCGACAACAGATATCTTTTGTGTGACAGACATCAGCTATTATCTAGATCTAATTCAATCTCTATTTCTTCATTGATTGATTAGACAGAAATGTCCGACCTCTGTGTTGACATGTAAGCTAGCAATACGGGTGCTTTGATAATATCTGAGGATGGTCTTGGGGTTGTTCTGTGGATGGTGACTAGCCCACCTCATATTCTACTGTGAGACACCATCCACTATATTATTTGCAAGTTAATCAATCCTTTCTCATCTTTGAAGCATATGTACTAGCAGTCAACATGTCAACAGAGGCCGAACATTTCAGTCCAATTAATTAAAGAAGTAAATCAAAATTGAATGAAAAGACAACCAACTCTTAATTTTCTATAGTTTGGTTTGTAAGAGTTAGTTTTGTTTTTACGAGTTGATCACGGACTGATAGCAGCTAGAGAACTATTGAAAACCAGCCAGAGAGTACTGGACCGCCGTTTCACCCTAGTTTGAGAATCATCGGAAGTACGCATCCACCGACAGGGCTCGAATCCAGGACCTTCCATTTACAAGGCTAGAGAGCTCGTATACCATTCAGCCACTGGGACCTGATTCATTGGCTACCAGCCCGTGAATTCGAACTTCTACCAATTCGTGATTTAACGCGACCACCAACCAATGTCGTAGGTGGGACATCCATCCTCATACGTGACATCTGGATGGACCTCACTGGTCATGACTTCTCAATAGAACTCCAGGAAACTCCATCCTGCGAGCGTCAGATTACAAACCAGACTATAGAAAATAATCTGACGCCCACTAGTGACTTGCTACAGGATTGATTTTCCTGGAGCTCCAGTGAGAAGTCGTGACCAGTGAAGTCCATCCAGATGTCACGTGTGAGGATGGCTGTTCCACCTATGACAATGGTTGGTGGTCACGTTAAATCACGAATTGGTAGAAGTTCGAATTCACAGGCTGGTGGCCAATGAATCGGATCCCAGTGGCTAAAATGGTATACAAGCCAGCTCGCCATTGTAACCGGAAGGTCCAAGGTTCGAACCCCAGTGGACGCATCCCTCCAGTGATCCCCGAACTACGATGAAACAGCTGTCCAGTACTCTCTGGCTGGTTTTCTATAGTTCTCTAACTGATATCAATCCATGATCAACTAGTAAAAACAAAACTCCTAATTTTCTTATATAAACAAACGCGCATAAGGCTGCATAGATTTTTCATAAACACATCACACGCTGAAGTATCAAAATTGAAGTACGTCACGGATTCCGTTTGTTCAATGCAAACATAAAACAGCACAAGAGTCACACAAAACTATGCACTAGCGGTATTTTGTTTTTTATTGATAAAACAATTTATTGTTAATGGTTACTTATGTAAAGGTGAATATATTGCACTGCATTCCAGTAAGTATGACTAATAAAGTGTGGGAAAGTTATGATAAGGATTCCAGCGAAATACACCTATGAAAATGTCAATAAAAATGCCTCAATAAGCGATTGATTGTTTTATCATCATGTTTCTTCTCTCTACTGGGAGATATTTTTGCTGGACGAATACAAAACGTTTAGATTCTCTAAATTTGGATAACAGTTTAGCACTTTAGATTTCAGATTTCACTTTGGACTGTATGACACTAACCTGTGGGGAATAACAGATACATAAGTGAATGTTCTCCATATTTGAATCGGTTTCATTCATCCAAATTGTCTTAGCTTAGTGAACATTGTTCAGTGTAACTGTATAACTGGTTGGTACGGTAAATTGTAGACCATTGAAGTCAGTTAGAGCACGTATACCTTGCTGGCAAGCTCTACTGGCTGACATAAACATTTCCCATCGAATCATGTTGCATACTGCGTTTTTTGTCACTTGGTAAAATTTACTGCCTTAAAAATTGGCGTCTTGTTTTCTAAAAATATTTCTCATTTCCATAGTGAGTCATACTGAAAATTCACTTCACACATCTTTATTTCCAACTAATGAATTTAATGTCAGGGTGGATTTTAGACTGAATGATGTGAAGTAATAGCAAGCAATAGATTTTTCAATAGACTAGTTGAAGGAGCGGTCAAGTTCATCAGACATTTACGTAGACCTGTAGATATCTTAGTAAGTTAATCAGGTACTGTCTTCAGCACAGAGTTTCAGAGACTACATCTCTTACTTTTTGTCTTTACACACGCTAAAGGACACATCCTAAATCAAAGAAAACAGCCAGAAACGTTGGTTTTCTAAGACAACCTAAAGTTATCAGAGTGCATCTGTGGTTCACTGGCACAATATTAGCCATACGCGCATATGATACTGATTCGATCATCGATGGGAGCAATTCTAAATTTATCAGTTTACTTTGCGACCGTTACTCTGGAGAATAGTTAACTTTGGGCATCAGGCCAGCAATCTCACAGATGAAACAATATCAATGTTAATTCAACTTCAAACAAATTGCTTGAAGTCGTATGTTTTACTCGGGGATTTCAAGAAAACGGGTCATAGCTGTTGTAATACCTATTGGCGTGGAGTTTTAATATGTGTGTACTCAATTCAAACAAAGGTAATAAAACAACAGTGTATCATTCGATTTGCAACAACTTAGGTTATTTTAAAGGAGAGAACCCCTGAAAACAGTGGTGAGTTGGATACCTTCTGTCTTTCATCGTCTTTCGACGACTAATAGTCCGGCCAACAGGATTCACGAACAATATGCAGATGAACAAGTTTTTAAGTGCTCTCTATTTGTTGATTGTCTATGGAAAAAATTTAATTCGAGGAAAATTTAGCCTCATGGAAATTTCAAAATATAAGACTGTTTATATTTGCAAATATCAGCTAATAATAATAAAGTCTTAGTTAAGTGTTTCTTGTTAAAAGAGCTAAGGGCTAAGGAATTCATAACACAATTCCTAATTAATTTAATGTTCTTCTTTAGAGCAACCAGTCCTAATAAATAATAATAATGATTTACTTAATTCCAGAGAACAGTACTTGTGATACAGAATGGAATTTTCAGCATTAATCACAATACCGCATCTAAATTCCTCAAATTATAAATATAATTATTCACACAGAAAAGTTTCCACATTTACAAAATGGGTCATGTCAAAAGCTTGCAGCATATAAAATGGAAATAATAATGATAACAGCTAAGGTAATAATAATAATACAAGCGAAATTTGCCGTGGGCTTGTTTCTCACAGTATTGTCGATGCGGTATAGAAATCCCAGCATGTTTAAAATTGTTGAATAGAATGTTCTCTTTACATGATATGGTGAGGGGAAAAACAAAGATTACAGAAGTCATAGAGATAAGTGTTGGTGTTTGCAATTATGAAAGTAAAACAAAGAAGCAACAGGACCATAAATATAATAGAAATAATAAAAGCAAAACTTGAAGGTTTATAAGGATGGATGGATGGATGGAAACTGTTTATTTACTAGATGAAAAAAGATTAGTTAGTTAATTCTTGCCTGACACTATTTTCATGACATAAAATACGTGCCAAGTATGGTATCATAGAATTTTTATACTTAGTCGTGTGAGCATACTCTTTTCTAAAGTTACTTCTTGTTCTACCTGAGGAGATGCAAGGTGAAAGCTGAGGGTAAAGCGGATGCTCCAAGTCAGACTACAAAATCCCTCTGGCCTAGCAAATTTATTGCACGAAGTCAAGTGCCTATCGACAACGATATTAACTAAGTAGTTCACTGTGACACCTCTCACTCGACTGACTGATCGTCTTCAGCATTCGACGAATTGTGACATAGTCCTTTTTATGCAAACCAGTAAAGAAATTATAAGGGTGAACAATAAAGAAGAATAGATAGGACGCAAGAGCCTACGAACTGTAAAATGTCAGGTGGAATATTTTACTGGAGACCGCTAATCACATTCATCAAAAGATTTTTATGCTGTTTATATTACCAATAATTATTTTTTGGTTTTTAGGACAAAATTAGACTATGCAAATCTAACATTATCAAAAATAAAGAAAGAAAATCTTCCTCACCTTTCATAGTCTTCAGCTTCTGAAATATTATTTGAATCCGTCGTCTTCTCTGATTCTGGTGACTGTATACCATACTCTGAGATTGTACTTTTCATATTCATTATAGAGTAATTTTACTATTATTATTATTATTATAACTATCCAAACGCCTTGCTAACATTCCACATTAAATAAATGTGAGTATTAATTCCAGGTAACAATTTTTCTGCTATGAATATGGTTTCCATGGTGTGATCATAAAAATATTGATGATAATGATAATAATAATAATATTTCCATTTACATATATCCACGTAGTGTTTTGAAGTATGTATATACTATATATATTCTTTTCGCGCCTCTTTTGAAAACAATTGAAATTTAAATACTTCTTCGAAATCTGAATGTAATATCCTAATTCATTTGATAATTATAATAATAATAATAGTAGTAATAATAATCCGTCAAAAATTTCATTCTTCCAAAGTATTATCAATAATAATAATCATAATAATAATGATAACAATAATCCAACGACCGAAGACTATAAACAGATCAAGACAACAGGTAGATTCTATTGCTGTGATAACACCTGAAAAGTAGTCATCCTCGTGTAGAAATATTTATTTCAATAAGAATCAATCGTCTTTTCGGTTTTTGCACACGCGCTTTCATTTATAATAGTAATGGTAACTTTAAAAATATCTACATTCATCTAATTTATTATTATTACCTGTCTGTCTAGCTGTGTGTATAGGTGTGTATGTGTGTGCGTGTGTTTTATTTTTTTTGGGTTTATAAACTTTTTCTCTCTGCGTTTTTTTATTTGTTGCATTCTTTTTATTCCCTGTTTCTTTCTCCTGTTTGCCTCTTCTCTTAACAGGAAAGCAAACAAGAAGAAAAACACAATCAGTACGCTGGGATTTTGTTCAGGAAGGAAAAAAGACACACATATGTATATGTGTGTGTAGATAGTTTTGATGGTGTGAACAGGCGGAGCTTTTTTTAAATTTACATTATTTCCACTAGATGCTCTATTGTCCAGATTTCTTCAAGCGAGGATTTACATCTTGAATTTTGGGAATTTCTGCGAGGAGATACGGTGAAGAGGAGGGGAAAAAAGCGTAGAAAAACAATACAATGTATGTGTGTGCCTGTGAATTCACTTCCGCTAACTGCCTTCTTTCTTGTCTCGATTAGATATTTGCCTTTTAAATGTCCATTAAATGTTTATACGGATCTTGAAGCTGAATAAAGCTTGTGTTATGTTATCCTGCCTGAAGATAACAATAATAATTATAATAATATTTTGTATCTGTAATAATCTTTAATAATTATTTGATTGAATGCCTAGCCGCTTGTTCTTCCTCTTCATTCTCATTTTCCTTTAAAATTCATGGTTGGATAAAGCAATTCAAGTTTTGTATTGGATGCTGGAAATGGAGACTATTGGTTGACTTTTGTGCCTTATGTTTAAGCTGGTTAGCGTGATCAGAGCTTGATTAATGTTGTCATATTCTCCTACTTATTTGTGTTTCTTAATATCACTTACGCCGCTGAACCGCAGAGAAACGGTGGCGTTACAGTACCGTCTTATATTTTGCCTACATCCAATGTGTTTAATAGTTTTCAAAATTTATGAAAACAGAGAACATATTGCATCTATATCAATAATAAATAACGGTACCATGGTGAGGTCATCAGCAAATGCAGTAAAATGAAAAGTGAGGATAGGCGAGAGATTTGATAACTTTTCACTTGATAATATATTGCCATTTTTAGTGTATAATGATAATTTCTTTAGATTTTTCACCATACGAAGAATAGTCTGCTTATATAATAATTATTATTGAAGCTTGAAAATCCCCATTGAGTCATATGAAAAAGAGAAGACGTTCAGTGAACAGGCTCTTTTTGACGGCCAGTTCATTCACATAGCTGTACAATCGCATTTATATATAATTAATTGTATGTGTACATGAGGTTTGTAAAGTTTGGATAATCGACCAGGTAATAGAAAAATGATCTATTAAAGAAACAAGGTTAATTAGACAGCAACTAAAGTAAGATTGAGTTAGTTCGTAGGTTAGATGACGCAGTATGATCGATTAAAATGTTTCAACTTAGGTCAGGATAGCAACAGAGGTAATTACGGGTAGAGACTCAGTATAACTGGGGAAGAGAATAATGACACTTAAATAAGGACTAAAATTGAGGAAATAAGTTGGATGGCGTAACATAAATGACTAAAAATTGAGCGTTGGTCAAGTCAGTATTGACCATCGAGGTGCAGCAGGTCGGTTATAAGGACAAATACTCACCGAAGACATTGGCTAGCGGTTGAGCTATATCGTGAATTGGCAGGTTAGAATTCATGGACCATTGGATAGAGTCCCAGTGGCTCAATGGTATACGAGCTCGCCTTGTAACCGGAAGGTCCTAGGTTCGAATCCCGGTGGGTGTGGCGTAGTGCTGAAGAGTCTCAAACTGCTTGGACGAAACAGCTGTCCAGTACTCCCAGATTTTCCAATGGTTCTCTAACTGATGTCAGCCCATAATTAAATCCTAAAATGTTTCAACTTATGTCATGGTAGCAACATAAGTAATTACGGGTAGAGACTAAGTAGAAGTGAGGTAGAGAATAATTCCATTTAAATTAGAACTGAAATTGAGCAAATAAGTTAGATGGCATAACATCGATGACTAGAAATTGAGTGTTGGTCAAGTCAGTAACAGTGGTAGTGAGGTGTAGAAATTAAATTGGGTTGGGGTAGAGAACAAGAATGTTGAAAATGTAAAATATTACAAATGAGAAGACAAAATAATACTAATGAAGACTTAGACAAAAAAAAAGATTAGGTAGAATTTACTTGTTGGGTAGTAGGATAGACTAAGTCCATTGCAAGTGTGGTGATTAGGCGAACTTCTTTTGTATGCAAAGTTCAGGGCTTAGCAAGTGAATCACAACTGCTTTTTCAATTTGAAGAAGTCTGATTCCTACACGTTGAGGAAGACTACTTCTTAGTCTGTAGACGACTTTGTAGTTTGTTTAGGGTGTAGCTTGGTGTCCGGATTCTATCGGATGTTCTAAGATGGAGCTGCGGGGACATCGTTTCTCTTCTTTGTAAAACCATGTTGGTAAGTGTTCGGTGATAAGTGTGAAAAGAGAACTCTGGGTACGGCCGACATACCTGGCTCCACACACCTTGTTTCTATATTTGATCATTATTGTATTACCTGATCAATTATCTGAACTTGACAAACCTCATGTACACACATACAATAAATTATATATAAATGCGATTGCACAGCTATGTGAATGGATTCGCCGTCGAAAAGAGTCTCTTCGCTGAACGTCTTTTCTTTCTCATATAATTACCATTGATATTCTTCCTTTGGATTCCGAGTGGAAGACAGGGAGTCGGCAGCGAATCCCTGCTTTTTCCTATTCTATGTGGTCCACTGTAGCTGGTATTTAATCTTCTTGCCGCATGACCTCAGTATCACTCTTGGACGTCTCACTCGTCATCTCCTATTTGACTTCCACTCAAACGATCACCTGGTGTGAAATGAGATTGGTCCATTCTCAAGGTTTCTTATTTTTTATATTTTTTGTCTGCCACCTGATCCCCATCATGGAGAGAAAGCCAACGCTGATAAAAGTATGAAGCCTTTTGTAACCACTTTAATTGGAGCGTCAAGTTTCTAACCCATGTAGAAGAAATTTGCTTAAAGTTGGTGTTTGAGAATCCAGATTTCTTTCTTTATGCTAACTGAGTTCAGGCCTCTCTTTCCGATTTTTGCTTTGTCGACTTCATCTCTTCCTCCCATAGATGAAACGATACTGTTCAAGTAACTGAAGGAAGTGATGGCAATCCTAAAGTGATTTCTATGACATTTCGCAAATCATTTATGGTAAGGTATCATACTTCATCAATTTAACGCGAATATACTTATCATTATCGGGTGTAAGATGTTGTTCTAAACACAGAGAAAATGTTGCACACATTAAACGTTTGCTCAAATAATAGTAACAAGTAAATGAGCTTAATGTTATGCGTAACTGATGCTAAGGGTAGTTAGGTAAATAAGAATATTGTTCTGAATGAACAGAGATTAAATTAGTTGTGTTATCTGAGCTGGTTGATTTAATTGCGAAGCATTCGTCATCCCTCTAGACAATATCTTCGGAGCAGGTTTGGGTGTAAAATGTACTTTTATGCACAACCAATTCAATATCATCCACCTGAGCTACAAAATCTTCGCCATTATTCCAAAACAGGGAGATTTTGAACACCAAGGTCAGGTTTCGGACGTCTGATCACGACAGACTCGATAAGGTGTTTGGAATAAAACAAAGTCTTCTTACTACGATTTTAAGACTAAAATCTGTACAGTAGTCTGATATGTATTAGTTGACATGAGAGGTAGAGGAGACGGGACTACAAGTGAAAGTATCCAAGATAGTGGTCATAAAGGTACTTGGTGACCAGTAACAGGCACCGGTAACTATCAGCGAGAGAAGTTGAAAGAGGTAAACACCTATATTTGCCCTACAATTCAAGGGCGACATACCAGGTGTGATAATTACGAGGAAATTAAGAAAATGAGTTCAAAGAACGTTTAATGCTGGCTAACTACACGTCTTAGTCTCTACACGACCGATGGTGCTACCTCGACTGAAAGATGAAGTACCTAGACTAGCCACTTCAAATTGTGCGTCAGTGGCACAGTGGTTGGGACTCTCGCCGACCATGCATATAGTTCGAGGTTCGAACCCCCGCCGACGCACACCTGATATCTATGGTCGGCCTGCAAAATTTGGGCTACCGATATCCATGCTGAAAATTCCATACTTGTACCAAAAATACAGTGTGGAATCAAGCTGTAAATCAAAAATATAAAATAAAAATATAAAATAAAAAATTAAAAAAAAATGTATCTACCAATTCAACTGTGCTGCTTGTAGAGCAAGTTATATTGGCCGTTGCTCTAGAAACTTGATTTTTCATACTCGCTCAAGAACATCTCCCACTATGGCTGAACAAAGGTGTGGTGAAAACCATTAACAGTTTGACATTAGACTACCTGGTCCAAACCGGCCGGCTAAAAAGCCAGCCAGCGTGGAAGAGTCCTTCTCTGTAATCTACAGGGCGCCTAATACATTGTCAAAATCATCAAAGCACCGCATGCTCCAAACAGCAGAGGCTATTGCAATTTGCCTGAAACAACCAGTGCTCTGTGTGGAGAAGAAGCAAGTCCAGCCCCTACTACTGCCCTGGCCAGCCTTCAGTAGGGACTATAAAATCATAAATTTGTAATATTATCTTTCCTAATTTTTTATGACATCCAGCATATTTTATGTTGATGCTATTGAACTGCATTCTATTGATATTATTGAATCGATGTTATTTAAACAATTTTGATGTTGTTCATAACACTAATTCATTCATTTATTCATTCACTATTATGTATAAATAACTCTAGAGCCTGATGATGAAGGGGTTATCGAAGAAAGTACTTTTTGTTCAGTATCCATTCTTTTGACAACTTATATATGCCTAGGTGCCATCGTTTTAATTATAGGTGCAATGGACGACAATGTCAAACCCAGAATTAGAAAGGCGAGATGGAAGTTCATCACTCACAAATCAGTGTTGAAATCTGTTTCACACACAGATTCGAAGTTAAGCACTTTTGTTAACTCACTGCTTCTGTATGGTTCAGAGATTTGACAGGCGTATCACAGGAACAGGCCACTGCAGAAGTTTATCAACAGTCACGTTCTAATGATACTGAAGATCAGATAGACAGTCAAAAAGGAAAAGTACCGAAGAACAGTGGCAGCGAACCAATGAATGAGGCATCGCCCAACAAGGGAATGGAGGTCAACTTACGCCGACAGCACCTCTGAATGACATTATGCTCCAGGACATAGATTGGAAGCCGAATGTGAAAAGACGAGTTATCTGGAGACCCAAGGATGACATGGATAAGAATGTGTGAGAAGACAATGACATCCTACGGGCATTCATGAGTTAAATGAAAATATGACTGCAGAGAACAGGAAGAAACAGAGATGTGCTGTTGAAGCTCTTTGTTCCAAGAGAAACTTAAAAGAATAATATTATGTGACATTACATTAGTAGTTGAAGTTTTATTAGGGCCCTGTTGGTTATTGCTCTGCTTTACAATAAAATCTTCAAATGCTGGTTCACCTGATAATTTGTTCAACTAAGTAGCTGAGGAATAAATGTGAGAGTGAAACGGAAGTTTTTTTCTGGAAACCTGTTACTCTCTGATATGAACAAACAAGAAGTATGTGAATATATTAAGTCAATACAAGAA